TCTTTAACCACTTAGCACGTGGAAAATCTAATGGCTTATATATAGCCAAATACATCTATCCAATTAGAAAATTTAGAAACTGAAAGCTGGGTAGCACCTCCAAGGTTTAATGGAGCCAGTCCCACTACTTTCAGAGTAACTATTCTAATACTGAGGATGACGAAGTGGCCTCAGACAATGTCTTAGGCCAATGTCTTCCTCCCAGGAGGGAAAAAAAGTTACTGACACATGCAGCATCATAGATGAATCCCAAATGTATTATGCTAAGCGAAAGAAGCGAGACTGAAAATCTATACACTGCATGATTTCACTTATATGACATTTTGTAAAACACAGAACTGCAGAGACAGGAAACAGATCAGAGGTTGCAAGAAACTACGGTTGAGGGTAGGGTACTGATTACAAAAGAGCTTGGGGCTACTGGGCATGGTGGCGCACGCCTGTAATCCCAACACTTTGGGAGGCCAAGGAGGGCAGATTTCCTGAACTCAGAAGTTCAAGACTAGCCTGGGCAATATGGTGAGACCCTCCCTCTATAAAGAAAAAGAAAAAGAAAAAAAAAGCTTGGGGGAACTTTGGGGGATGATGGAAATATTCTATATCTTGATAATGGCAGTGGTTACTTGACTGGATGCATTTGTCAAAATTCATAGAACTATATGCACTAAAAAGGGTGAATTTTACTATCCATAAATTATACCTGAATAACCTAATCAAAAAAAAAAAAAAAAAAGAGTGTTTCTGGTGAGACTGTGTGCATGGACAGAAGGCAGATGTTATCATTTTTTTGCTGGAGAGTCTCACGTTTCAATAAATGCCAGCAGTTCCCACGTGGGGAATAGGCAGTTTCCCCAAACACAGTCATTTCCCTGCTCCCACCTTCATTTCCACTAGTGGTCTATGCTCCACCAGGCACAATGAGCTTCCCACTCAGGAAGCGCCAAGGTTCAGGAAGAGGGAGCAGAGGCGATGGGGTGAAGCAGCAGGCCTGCTCTGTGGGCAGCAGAGGGCTGGATAAAACCAAGTGGTTTATCCCTGAAGCTGCTCAGTCACTCCCTCAGTTAATTATCTGTCTGCTGATTCATGAGTTGTGGTTCCCTCGGGAATGCTTCCTGGAGATTTCTGCCAACAGGGGAAGAAGGGCTCTTGAGACTGGGAGGGGATGATAACCAGAGATCCCAAGCAGGGTGGGGAGCTTTAGAGGAGAAATGTATATCAGGAAATTCTAGAGTCATAGCCAGACTCCCCCTCCTCACTGTGGTATGCTTGCCTCATCTTATGGTCTTCCCAGGAGACCTCTGTCACTCCTCACCTTTGCCCTCACACCCACATGACCGCCAGGGAGAAAGGGGAATGTTGCCCTTCTAATGGCTCCTCCCAGGAGGGAAAAAAGTCAAACACTTCACAGAGGAGCCCTTGAGTTTTTCACAGTCTCAGATCACAGGTCTAAATGGTACAACAGTGCAGCGGTCCAAATGCCCAAAGAGCTCATGATCTCAGCAATGTTTTAATACCCTCCAGATTATCCAAATGGAGCACTTGAGGATCTTATATGAATGAATGCAAATATTCAAATATTGGGTTTCTTAAAATGATGCACATCATCTATAGATGCCTTTTCATCGCATTCCATAGATACTTATTTTGCTGCCTATGTGCCAGGCACTAGGCATAGTGTATTGAACAAAATAGACACGTCCCTCTCCTCATGGAACCTGTAATCTTACAGATGCTTTTATCTTCCTGTTTTTTCAGATACAGGGCTTGAGGTTTTCTCATGGGTAAAGCAAATGTATAAGCCTCTCTCCTTCTTGGCCTCTTCTGTGGATTCTTGCTGGGTTAGAGTGGCTGAGATATGCCAAGCCAGCAATGAGGAATGAGTTGAAATAAAAGGGGCCCCCTCTCACATATGTGTGGGGAAAAGGACCCCATCAGTCTCATTCCGGAAACCTGCACAGTGCTCATACATGAAGCAGTAACAGCTTTTGCCTCCAATACATAGTAGAGAGCAGTGATAGGAAAAATAATGACAATAGTAGTTGTCATTTACTGAATAGTTTTTTTGTGTCTCTGTCTCATTTAATCAGTATAATCATAGAGGCACTGTTTCCTCTACCTTACAAATGAGGAAACTGAGCTCTCAAGAGATTAGGTAACTTCTTTAAGGTCACACAGCCAACAGGAGACAAAGTCAAGAAGCAAACCCACATCTTACTGGCTTTAAACCATAGCTCTCCCTTTCTGAAGCCAACAAGCCTTCCTCCTGTGTTTCTCCAGGACCTGAGGATTCCTGTAGAGGGCTTCAGTTGGAGAGTTTCTAGGATACAAACTCCAGAAGAGAAATAAGCATCTCAGCTTAGACCTAATCAGGTCAGAATAAAAACCTAAACGTGGGGAAGCCACAAAACCCATATTTCCTGGGTGAAGCTAAAAAGATCATCTTTGTACATAAAATTAAAAACTTGATGCTATCCTCAATCAACCTCTCTTCTCCCCAAAGCAGACTCTCCTACTCTGGGACAACATTTCTGTGCCACTCCCATACCCACTCAGCTCTTTCTGTGCCCCTTCAACACTTGGAGTCCCAACACAACACAAAGGTAGATGTTACCATTTTTTTGCTGAAAAGTCTCACGTTTCAATAAATGCCAGCAGTTCCCACATGCGGAATAGGCAGTTTCCCTAAACAGAGTCATTTCCCTGCTCCCACCTTGATTTCCACTAGTGGCCTGAGCTCCACTCTGCTACTCTGGGACAACGTCTCTGTGTCACTCCCATACTAACTCCCACCATCTGCTTGCTTCCCTAGGGATCTGATGACCCTGCCACCAAAACTGAGATTGCAGATATAAATATGGTAGAAAATGCTTTGCAGGGCTGGGGCTGGGGTATTACTCTGGAAGTCTGTCTTTAGAGCCTCTGCCCTTAAAAACTACCCTACATAGCTTCTCAGAGAGAGTGTGGGGCTTGCTCAGCATAACCCATCACCACTTCTGGAATTGCCCCAAACACAAGATTAATCTGTGAACCACCTCCTAAGGATTTTTTTAATTATTATTTTTTGTAGAGATTAGGTCTCACTATGTTGCCCAGGGTGGTTTCAAACTCCTGGGCTCAAGCAATCCTCCTACCTCCACCTCCCAAAGTACTGGCATAAACCACTGTGCCTAACCAGATATCTTAAAGGATCTTTTAATGCAAACTTAGGTATGACAATGCAGTAGAATCCAATACACTCAAAAGTGAATTTAGAATACTGTGAAAGTAAGAAATGTTTAATGACAGCAAAAATTGTTGTAGGTGCATGGAAGCAGGCATCTCTGTAGGAGACAGCTGAGCTGCCCTGGTGGATTCCTCCATTCCCCCCAACAACAGCCAGCAGCATCTGACACAAGGTTCCATATGTCCCAAGGCAGAATGCTGGAGATTCCTATTTCCATGTCACAGTCAGCAGGCTGTTCACTGCAGGCTAACACTACCAGCTGATCTGTTTCAGTCTCTATCACATGGGAAGTTCAACAATAACCACTGCAATATTCCCCTGTACATCAACTGTAATCCCTCCTTCAAGCCACCCTGGCCCTGTCCAGGATAAAATATACGTCTATACATACACAGAAGAGTCTTGAAGAGAATCACTATTTTCGAATAGTTTATCTTTGAAGTGAACTTATCAACAAATCTTCCCTTTTTAAAATAAATCCTGGCCGGATGCAATGGCTCACTCCTGTATTCCCAGGACTTTGAGAGGCCGAGGTGGATGGATCACTTGAGGCCAGGAGTTCAAGACCAACCTGGCCAACATGGTGAAACCCCGTCTCTACTAAAACTACAAAAGTTAGCCAGGCGTGGTGGCAGACGCCTGTAATCCCAGCTACTCGAAGGAAGCTGAGGCAGGATAATTGCTCAAACCCAGAAGGCAGAAGTTGCAGTGAGCTGAGAACGCAACACTGCACTAAGCCTGGAAGACAGAGGGAGACTCTGTCTCAAAAAAAATAAATAAATAAAATAATCCTTTCTTCAGGGTCTAGATTGTTTTATGGGTACTACAGTTTTTATTAAAAATGCCTACGTGCACTCTGTGTCATCCTCTGAGGCAGAGGCAGCCCCAGCGGACCAGGAGCCAGGGTTTCTCCCCAACCCAGGCAAAATCACCAAGGGCTCCGAGAGGACCACGGGCAGCACGCCGGGCTGTGCCCGCTCCATCCTTCCACCCCAGCACCAATGCGGCCGAAAGCTGACTGCCCTGACGGCTGACAGTGTGCACAGCAGCCAGAGACAAGGCCAGATATCGCACCGGCCCAAGGGAGTCTTTTCGTGGCTCCCCAAATAATACACTAGAGATTTTTCGGGTGCAGGGTCTGCCCCGGGAGCACAGGCACCCGGGGAAACTGGAGGAGGCAAAGCCCTCGTCCTGCTCCAAAACAATCTCACAGGAAGCCAACTTGAAGGAAAAAGAAAGAAAGAAAGGAAAAAGAAAAAACATTCTGGAGAAATCGTAACACCAGGAGAAACTGGAAATGTGGGGAAACTGGCAAGCGCGCGCGCGCGCACGCTCTCACCCAAAAAGCCACAGCGGCATCCCCCTGCCAAGGCACGGGAACAACCCCCGGAAGCCCCACCTCGCCTTGGCTCCTGGGCCAGTCGTCCTTGGCCCGACCGGGACCACCCGCGAGGCGCTCAGCCCGGGCTGATCGCGGGGCTCAAAGATGCGCCGACCGCACCGTGCGCGCCGAGGCGGCCGGGAAGGCACTCAGCCTGGCTGAGGGCTTCGGCGTCCCGGAGGACCCGCACCCAGGCACTAGACACCTTTCAGCCCCGCCACCGCCGGGCCTGGAAGGTCCACAGCTCCCGGCTCCGACGGCCCCAGCCAGGACCCGCACATTCTGAGCGCAGACGCGCGGGGCCCCTTCTCCGGGTTTCCGCGCTCCAAGTCCAAAACTTGACCGCGGCGCGGATCCTGGAGGAGGTGCTCCCGGCAGAGCTGGAGCCTCACTCACCTCCGACGCCGACGCCCGCCAGCGCCCCCAGCGCCAGCACAGTCGCCCAGAGCGGCCAGGGCCGCGGCCGCGCTTGCATCTCGTCCGCCTCCCGCCGCGCTCCGCCCGCCCCACAGTGGGCGCCGCCGCTCGCGGCCGCTTTTCCCGCAACCGGAGGGGAGGGGACGCCGTGGGTGGGACGCAACGGGGCGGGTCGCGGACTCGCGCTTCCTCTCCTCGGGCTTCTCTGGACCCTGCCCCTGAAAGGGAGCAGTGGGAAACTGCTGCTCCTCTCCTCCCCCGGCACCGTCCTCCGCCTCCCTCGCCTCGCCCACGGGGAGCCGCCTGCCAGCCGGCGAGGCAGCCGGGCCTCGAGGAGGTCGTGAGCGCATCCTGGTCCCGGGGGTCCGCGACTGGGCACTTGGTGTGCTCAAAAAGGCCAGGAGCCTGTGGCCCCTCTCTTTACCCTTCCAGTACCACCTCCTGGGAGACGCCCCCAGGCTCTGTTTCACCTGGATTCTTGGAGCATATTCACCCACTACCTCGAGTTTCATTCATTCACACTGTAATTCATTTGATTGACAAACATCTGTTGAATGCCTTCTCTGAACTGGTTCAGTCCATTATTATTCACTAACTTTTTTCTTGCCTTAGTTTGGTTTTCCGTTAAACTTTAAGCCTGTTGACAAAACCACATCCCAAGCTTGTGTAAGCAGTGATAGGTCAATGAAGAGCCTCGCCCTACAAACACTTGCTTGCACCTAGCCGGTGTCGAAAACGTTTCAGAGCAGTCAGCATATTACCTCCAAATTCACACTCACAGGCTTTGGGGCTTTATCTATTTCCCTCAAAGGCCTCCTGCCTGACTCCCCCAACCTGTGGCCCCTTAATTTCTACCCCAGTCTTTCTTTAGGCCCCTGGATCTTCCCCAGACTTAAAACCTCTGGAAGCTCAGAGAGGCAAAATACTATGGCTGTGAGCAAGAGGCCACAAGGAAGTAGCTGGGGCAGTGCAGCCTGCCTCAATGGGTAGCTCTGATGGTGATAAAAACAAAGCCTGAGGCATCATTTCCCCTTAGGGCTTTCAGAGTGGCCCTGGGCTTCCCTATGACCTCTTAGCATGCCCACCCCCTTCTGAGACACACAAGATGCTGGACAACTGACCCTGACCTGTCCCTCCAGCCTATCTCCCACCCTAGTCCAAGAAGATACTTGTCATTCCCAAAAGCTCCATGCCTTCCTATCTGACTGATTTTCCTTCCTTTTTCCACTTGGAAAATTCCACTTGTTTTTCAAAACATCTCAGATGCCATCTTTTCCGTGTAATTTTTTCTGACAAACCCCCACTTCCAGCCTCACCCTTCCAAACACTAGGATACACCTTAATAGTAACACACATCAGCAGAAGTGTCAACAGCAATTTGCGAGGGGAAGAGCCAGCCCTGCCAAGGGTAGCTGGGCCCTCTGACCTGGGCTTTCAGACTGCAGCTCCATCTACTTCCCCTGGCTGCAGAGGGCCTCTCAGCCAGAAGCATATAAACAGCAGTGTCAATGCCCTGGAGCAAAGTTCATGTCACATGGCCTGGTTACATCTCTGCCTAGGCATTTACTTATTTGCTCCTTTCCCATATATGTAAAATCAACCTTCAGCCACTTAAGTGTCTCCTCAGCCCATTCTTCCTGGCACCAACCACTTGGGGTGGGCACTGGCCTCAGAAAATATGCTAAGTTCACAACCCTTGCCCAAACCCTAGCAAACATGACATGATAGTGCAAGTGAGTCCATGCAGCACTCCCAGCCCCAGGAAAGGCAAACATCTTGTTGTTTGTTCTACCATTTTTATTTTTTTTTTTTTTTTTTTTGAGATAGAGTCTTGCTCTGTGGCCCAGGCTGGAGTATGGTGGCGCAATCCTGGCTCACTGCAACCTCCACCTCCTGGGTTCACAAGATTCTCCTGTCTCAGCCTCCCGAGTAGCTGGGATTACAGGTGCACACCACATACCTGGCCAATTTTTTTGTATTTTTAGTAGAGACTGGGTTTCACCATGTTAGCCAGATCAGGTCTCAATCTCTTAACTTCATGATCCACCCACCTCGGCCTCCCAAAGTGCTGGGTTTACAGGAGTGAGCTACTGTGCCCAGCCTTATTTGTTCCACTGCTTTGGTTGGTTTCTCAGTTTCTCTTTTTCTACTTTCTTTTGAGATAATTTTTTTTCTCTGCTGGCTTCCTAGCTACGCTGTGTGTGTGTGTGTGTGTGTGTGTGTGTGTGTGTGTGTGTGTTTGCTCTAGGTATTATTACATATTCCCCCTTATCATACATAGTCTATGTTGAATCAATATTGTACAATTCTATGTAAACCATAAGAGCCTGTAAACCAAAAATAAGATTCTAAGCTCCACCACCCCAGCCAACTGAACTGACCCTTCCTCTCAGCCAAGGGCATTCCAAAGTTAATCTGAAAAACTAGTTCAGGCCGTTATGTGAAGCGTTGGGGAAGGTGGGGGGAGGGGAGTTGAACATGCCTCACAGCTGACCAGCATTAGTATCAACACAAAGACCGTAAGACTGATAGAATAGGCTAAGTCTGATAAGAAATATTTACAATCTATTCTCTCTGAAATCTGCCTCCTTTTGGCTTCATCTGCATGATAAAAATTTGGTCTCCATAACCCTTTATCCTAACCCAGACATTCCTTTCTATTGATTCTAGGTCTTTAGATAATAACTCTTACAACCAATTGCCAATCAGAAAATCTTTGAATCTCTCTGTGACCTGGAAGCCCCTGTGTCAGATGTCCCACCTTTCTGGATTGTACCAATGTTCTACTTATATGTATTGATTGACGTTTTTTGTCTCCCTAAAATGTGTAAAACTGAGCTATGGCACAACAGCCATGGGCACATGTCATCAGGACTTCCTGAGGCTGTGGCAAAGGCATGACCTCAACCTTGGCAAAATAAACTTCTACATTGAAACTTGTCTCTTTAAGTGGTTGAGACTTGTCTCTAAGTGCATTAAAGATGGGCCACTGTTTGCTGTCTCCATCATCTCTGGTGAGAAGTCCACCAACCTTTATATTCTTGTTCCTCTGTCTTCTCCCCCTGGAATTTTTTCCCTAACTTTTTATTTTGAAATCATTTATACTTACAGAAGACTTGCAAAATACTAAAGAGAGTTTTCTATGTCCTTCACCCAGCTTCCCCTACTGTTCACATCCTATATTTCTACATCATAATTATCAAACACGAGAAATTAATGTTGATATAACACTATAATTAATCTAGCTACAGAATTTGAATTTTACCACTTTTTCCACAAATGTTCTTTTTCTGGTCCAGAATCCAATCCAGGTCCCTATATTGTATTTAGTCATCATGTCCCCTTAGTTGGCCTCAATCTGTGACATTTTCTCAGTCTTTCTCATTCATCACTTTGACACTTTTGAAAAGTCTAGGCCAGCCTGGTATGGTAGCTCATGCCTATTATCCCAGCACTTTAGGAGGCCAAGGCTGGTGGATCACAAGGTCAGGAGTTCTAGAACAGCTTGGCCAATATGGTGAAGCCCCATCTCTACTAAAAATACAAAAATTAGCTGGGCATGGTGGCATGCACCTTTAATCCCAGCTACTCAGGAAGCTGAGGCAGGAGAATCACTTGAATCTGGGAGGCAGAGGTTGCAGAGAGCCAAGATCGCACCATTGTACTATAGCCTGGGTGACAGAGCAAGACTCCATCACACACATGCACACACAAAATCAGCCAGTCATGGTGGTGCCTGCCTGTAGTCCCAGCTACTCAGGAGTCTGAAGCAAGAGAATCACTTGAACCTAGGAGGCAGAGGTTGCCGTGAGCTGAGATTGTGCCACTGCACTCCAGCCTGAGGGACAGAAGGAGACTCCACCACAAAAAAAAAGAAAAAAAATTAGCCAGGCATGGTGGTATATGCCTGTAGTCCCAGCTACTCAGGAGGCTAAGGCAGGAGAATCACTTGAACCTGGGAGGCAGAGCTTGCTGTGAGACGAAATTTTGCCACTGCACTCCAGCCTAGGTGACAGAGGGAGACTCCATCTCAAAAAGGAAAAAAAAGAAAAGTCTATTTCAGTTTTTTGTAGTAGTGTGTTTATTTGGGGCTTGTCTTGTTTTCTCATGATTGCATTGAGGCATTTTGGACAAGAATACCACAAAAATGACGCTGTGCCTTCTCAGTATATCGTATCAGGGAGTATATGATGTTGACATGGTTTATTACTTTGATCACATGGTTAAGGTGGTTGTCTTCCAGGTTTATTCACTATAAAGCTACCATTTCTGTGGATGACAGGAACTTAGCCGATGGATAATAAAAAGTAAAAAAATACAAAAAATGCTCTGTGATACTGGACAAAGAAAATAGAGAAAAAAATACAAAAAAAAATAGGCATAATGGTTGAAGAGATGGTAGAATACCATCAGATAAATTGCCTGTTAGAACTAATAGAAATTCTAGAATTTACAAGTATAATGTCTGAAATGAAAATTCTCCTGGATAGGCATCTGTTTGTAATCAGTACATATTTAATGGGAGGATACTTAAATGTTATGCGACTATCATAATGGTTTCATAATTTCACCCACTAGTTTTATCATCCATCAGTGATTCTTAACTGCCACAATTATTACTGTGGCATTTGACTCATAGTGATTTTCTATATTCTTTTCTCCTTATACAGTTATTAATTAATATTCAACAGTAAGGAAGAGCTGTCCTTTATCTTCCATTTTAAAATGTGTTTGTTTATGTCAGCATAAACTCACGGGTATTTATTTTATTCCAGGACTGATAATCCAGGACTATCATTATTCTGGGCTCTAATTGTCCCAGGTTTCTCTCTAGCTACCCTATTCAACATCGTCTAGGTATCCTCCATCTATTTGGAGACAGTTTCCAAATCCTTTCTAAGATTTATGTTCTCTAGATGACATGGCCTCAATTCATTTTATTTTATTTTATTTATTTCATTTCACTTCATTTTTGGGACAGGATCTTGCTCTGTCACCCAGGCTAGAGTGCAGTGACATGATTACAGCTGACTATAACCTTGAACTCCTCGGCTGAGGCAATCCTCCCATGCCAGCCTCCTGAGTAGCTAGGACTATAGGCACACGCCACCACATCCAGATAGTTT